TTGTCATTTTAATTTGCATCTCCCTGTTGATCAGTGACTGAACATTTTTTTATATATCATTTGGCCATCTGTTTGTCCTCTTTGGAGACGTGTCTATTTGGATCCTTTTTCCATTTTTTAAATTGGATTGTTTGTCTTCCTTTTGTTAAGTTGTATGAGTTCTTTATAAAGGGTTATCAGATATATCATTGCCAAATATGTTCTCCCATATAGTGGACTCTTTGTTTTGTTGGTGGCTTCTTTTGCTGTGAAGAAGCTTCTTAGTTTGATGTAGTCCCATTTGTTTATTTTCTCCTTGGTTTTGTTTGCCCTAGGGGTTTAATCACAAGGAACAACAACCTGTAATCATTGGAATAGAGGGTCTAGGTCAGTGGTTGGCAAACTCATTAGTCAACGGAGTGGCAAACCACCACTCTCGAGCCACAGTTTGCTGATCACTGCCCTAGGAGATGTATCTGTAAATATATTGTTATGACATATGTCTGAGAATTTGCTGCCTATGGTTTGTTCTAAGATTTTTATGGTTTCATGACTTACAATTAAATCTTTTATCCACTTTGAGTTTATTCTTGTGTACGATGTAAGTTGGTGGTCTAACTTCATTATTTTTTTGTATGTATCTGTCCAATTTTTCCAACACCACTTATTGAAGAGATTATCTTTACTCCATTGTATGCTCTTGCCTCCTTTGTCAAATATTAATTGAGCGTAATTAGTTGAGTTGATTTCTGGGTTCTCTGTTCTGTTCTATTATTGATCTATATGCCTGTTTTTGTGCCAGTACCAGGCTGTTTTGATTACCATGGCATTGGAGTATAATTTGAAATCTGGTATTGTGATTCTTCCAACTTTCTTTTTCTTTCTCAAAATTGCTGCAGCTATTTGGGGTCTTTTTTGATCCCATATAAATTTTTGGAGTATCTGTTCTAGCTCTGTGAAACATGCCATTGGTATTTTAATAGGGATTGCATTGAATCTTAGTTTGCCTGGGTATTATGGGTATTTCAATGATGTTGATTCTACCAATCCATGAACATGGTATATTCTTCCACTTGTTTATATCTTCTTCTTCTTCTATTTCTTTTTTCAATGTCCTGTAGTTTTCTGAGTACAGGTCTATTGCCCCCTTGATTAAATTTATTCCTAAGTATCTTCATTTGTTGTTGTTGTTGTTGCAATGATAAATGGGATTGTTTGTTTAGTTACTCTTTCTGAGAATTCATTATTGGTATATAAAAAAGCCATAGATTACTGGGTGTTGCTTTTGTATCCTGCTACATTGCCAAATTCATTTATTAAGTCTAGTAGTTTTTTGGTGGTATCTTTCATCTGTGAATAATGAGTTTTACTACCTCTTTTCCAATTTGTATGACTTTTATTTCTTCTTCAGGTCTAATCACTGTGGCTAGAACTTCCAGTATTATGTTGAATAAGAGTGGTGAAAGCTGACATCATCCCTGTCTTGTTCCTGTTCTTAGGGAACCCATTGAGTATAACCCATTGAGTATAGGTTTGCCATATATAGCCTTTATCATGTTGAGATATGGTCCCTCTCTTCCCATTTTGCTTAGAGTTTTCATTAAAAAAAAATGGGTGTTGGATTTTGTCGAATGCTTTTTCTGAATCTATTGATACGATCATGTGATTTTTGTCTTTCAACTTGTTTATGTGATGTATCACATTTATTGATTTGCGAATATTGTACCAACTTGTATCCCTGGAATAAACCCCACTTGGTCATGGTCTTTTTAATATATTGTTAGATCTGATTTGCTAATATTTTCTTGAGGATTTGGCATCTATAGTCATTAGGGATGTTGGCCTGAAATTATTCTTTGTAGTGTCTTTATCTGGTTTTGGAATTGGGATAATGCTGGCCTGATAAAAAGAGTTTGGAAGTGTTTCTTCCTCTTGGATTTCTTGAAATAGTTTGAAGAGTATAGGTGTTAGTTCTTTAAATGTTTGATAAAACTCCCCTGGGAGGCTGTCTGGACCTGGGCTTCTGTTTGCTGGGAGTTTTTTGTTTATTGCTTCTATTTCATCAGTTGTTATTGGCTTATTCAGATTTCCTGATTCAGTTTTGGGAGATTGTATTTTTCTAGGCATTTGTCCACCTCAGCCAGGCTGTTCACCTTGCTGACATAGAATTGTTCATGGTATTTTCTTATAATCTTTGTATTTCTGTGGTGTAAGTGATTATTTCATAACTTTTGTTTTTGATTTTATTTATTTGTGTCCTCTCTCTTTGTTTCTTGATGAGTCTGGCTACTGGTTCTTTAATTTTGTTTATTCTTTCAAAAACCCAGCTCTTGTAATTCCATGTTTCTGGGAGCATGTCCATGCAGCATCCACTTACTCTGCCGCCATTTTTAATCTCCCCCTTTTTAAAATTACAGAAACAGCTGGGACCGGTTTGGCTCAATGGATAGAGCGTCAGCTTGGGGACTGAAAGGTTCCGGGTTCGATTCCGGTCAAGGGCATGTACCTTGGTTGCGGGCATATCCCCGGTAGGGGGTGTGCAAGAGGCAGCTGATCGATGACTCTCTCTCATCGATGTTTCTAACTATCTCTCTTCCTTCCTCTCTGTATAAAATCAATAAAATATATTTAAAAAATAAATAAAATAAAATAAAATTACAGAAACAATAATAAAAACAACACTCTGGTACATATTTACATGCAGTTTGGGGTATATTGAAAACATTCCAGAGGGATAAATACCCAATTGTTAATAACAGTTCCCTGAGGAATAGAACTATGAAAGAAAAGGAGAGACAGATTTTCACTCTTTTTTTTTTTTACAAGCATGAGTTATTTTTATAACTGGAAATTTTTAGCTTAAAAAAATACAGCTACACTCCTCCCCCAAAAAAGGAAAATTTTATTCCTTGAAAATTTCCTTATTGAAATGGGGTTAAGGACTGGCATTCAACCCCAGGCAGATTCACAAAGAGAAGAAAATGGGAAGAAAAACAACCAAACACAATACCTTAGCACCATCTTAAACATTGGGGAGGGAGAGACACAGGATGGCCAAGATTGCCTTTGTCTGCCAGCTCAGAAGAATGAGGGGTTCAGGGTAAAAAAAAAAAAAAAAAAAAAAAACTGTTAGAAAATAAAGTAATATTTCTTGTGTGTCTGAATTTTGAGAATCATACGGTTAAACACACTCTTCTCCTTTAATTCTCTTATTATTTTGATTTTACAGTTGAGAAAACTTTTTATTGATTTCAGGGAGAAAGGGAGAGGGAGAGAAATAAAAACATTAACGATGGGAAAGAATCATTGACTTGTTGTCTCCTACACGCCCCTTACTGGGGATCAAGCCTGTAACCCCAGGCATGTGCCCATGCCTGGAATCAAACCTGGGACTCTTCAGTCCACAGGCTGATACTCTATCCACTGAGCCAAACCGGCCAGGGCAGAAAGGGCTTTCTAAGGTTAATTTTCCTGAGGCCACATAACTGGTACTAGTAAAACTAGAACTCAAATTTGAGTCTCCCTCACCCTGAAGTATGTGCTAGCTACACCCTCTGCTGCTTGGAATAAGATTTGCCTTCTCCCTACCACCTGCATCCAATCTCTACTCCAAATCTTGCTAATTCAGGCAGCATGCCCTCCTCTAAGAAGGCACTATTGAGCACTCCCCGCCCCCAAGTTTAGGTGGCTGTCTTTGGGCCTCCCTAAGTTCCCTGACCCCGACTGTATCACAGACCACGTGTAGTCCATTGGACTCTGTGTATCATTTTTCTTCTCTACTAGACGCAACAATTAAGTATCGCCCCTGCCTGACACATTGTAGGTGCTTTAGTTCTGCAACAGAAGAATACTATTTATATTTGATTTCCTCACTGAACTCTGAACTTCACGAAGTTAAACAACACGTCTGGTTTTATGCACCATGAAATCACTGGAGCCTAAACCGTGCTTGGCACAAGCTAGGCTTTCAATAAATATTTTTCAGTAAGTGAATAATTCTATAAGTAATCTCCTCTATTTACTGTGTCTCTGAGTCATACCCGAGAAGGGGGGAGGGAGATAGCAGCTGCTTGACATCCTTTTTCTTGTAATGATTTTTTTAGTATTTTACATTATTTCCACGCTTCAGCATTTTAAAATTCGTCATCATTTTCCCGTGTTCATCCTCACACTTCACACGGAACGTGATCTCTACTATTTGAAAGTGTAAGATTTTTTCAGTCTGCCTTACCTGTATCCTCCTATTGCCAACTGCTAGCGCTTGCTCTCAAACCTCCCTCATTAACTGTCCTGAACAATTAACTTGCAATTTACAAGCTTGCTTTTCCCCTAGGGTAATTGCAAAGTTACACGTTCCCGGATGGGACCCTCTCACGACAGAATCGCAACAAGTGGATTGATGACGTCTGAGGACTACTCCTAAAGATGTGGAGGGTTAAACCAGTATTTGCTAGGCTTTACCGATCTTTATTTTAAAAAAAAATAGATGCTACAAGCTCTCATTAGAAAAACAAGAAAAATATGTGCCAAATTACTTTCCAGGCAGTTTGCCTGGATTAAGAGTCCCGCCGACAAAGAGGAGGAGGAGGACCAAAGGCTCTTTCCTACCGAGGGCTGCAGCCCGAGCCTGCGCCCCCCTGTGGGCGGGGCCAACGGAGCCTCCCCGCGCCCACCCAGCGAGGAGGGGGCGTGGCCAGGGCCAGCGGACCTCCCGCGACCCCAGCGAGGAGGGGGCGGGGCGTGGGGCGGGCCAGGCGTCCAGGGGGCGGGGCCTCGCGGGCGAGGGGCAGGCTGGGAAGCGCCGCCATGTTGGCGCCGTCCGCGCTGTAGTATTGTCATAAATAGAGCCGGTTATGTAGTGTTTTCACTACTCGGTTGGCTGCCTCGGCCGTGGCGATTGAGGGAGTGAGCGAGCGAGCGACCGGCGACCAGAGGAGAGCGGACGGGAGGAGGGGAAAGAGCCAGGACGGGACTCCGGAGCGAGGGAGGGACCCTCGCCGGGGAGGGGGACGCAGGAAGCGATGAAAGAAACGTCTGCGTAAGTAGCGGCGGGGGCGGGGGGCGGCCGTTGGGGGCGAGGCGGCGAGGGGTGGGCTGAGGTGTGCGGCCCGGAACCTCCCGTCCGCTCTGCCCGGAGTCCACCCGGGGTCTCCGTCCCCGCCCGCGTCGGCCAGGGCACCCCCTGCCCACCGGCGGCTCCCCTGGCCGCCCCGCGCCGCGCGGACTCCGGGTCTCCCTCCAGGAGGCCCCTCTGCCCTGGGCTGCGCGCCCCCTCGGACGCCCCTCGGCGGGGAAGCGGCGGGAGAGGGGCGAGGGCGTCGGAGGAGGGAAATCGCTGGTCCCTCTCCCGCCCCAGCAGCGTCTGGATCGGCCTCTGCTCCCCCGTCTGCATTGGCGCAAATGCCGTCCCCTGCGTCCCCCTCCCGCCTTCCGACCACCGCCTCCAGGTCTCCCTCCGGGTCCTTAGTGAGTGACCTACCCGGCTCGTTCCTCCCTCTTTTCGCCCTCCCCAACCCTGCCCACCTCCCCCCAGCACACCTTCCCTACCCACAGCACACCTCCCCTACCCCCAGCACACCTCCCCTACCCCCAGCACACCTCCCCTACCCTCAGCACACCTCCCCTACCCCCAGCACACCTCCCCTACCCACAGCACACCTCCCTCCCCTACTCCCGGCTCACCTCCCCTACCCACAGCACACCTCCCTACCCTCAGCACACTTCCTCTACCCACAGCACACCTCCCCCCAGCACACCTCCCCTACCCCCAGCACACCTCCCCCCAGCACACCTCCCCTACCCTCAGCACACCTCCCCTACCCACAGCACACCTCCCTCCCCTACTCCCAGCACACCTCCCCTACCCACAGCACACTCCCCCCCAGCACACCTCCTCTACCCACAGCACACCTCCCCCCAGCACACCTCCCCTACCCCCAGCACACCTCCCCCCAGCACACCTCCCCTACCCTCAGCACACCTCCCCTACCCACAGCACACCTCCCCTACCCACAGCTCACCTGCCCTACCTCCAGCTCACCTACCCACAGCACACCTACCCACAGCTCCCCTACCCCCAGCACATCTCCCCTACCCACAGCACACTCCCCCCAGCACACCTCCCCAACCCTGCCCACCTCCCCGCAGCACACCTCCCCTACCCACAGCACACTCCCCCCCAGCACACCTCCTCTACCCTCAGCACACCTCCCCTACCCACAGCACACCTCCCCCCAGCACACCTCCCCTACTCCCAGCACACCTCCCCTACCCACAGCACACCTCCCCCCAGCACACCTCCCCTACCCACAGCACACCTCCCCTAACCCCAGCACACTCCCCCCAGCACACCTCCCCTACCCCCAGCACACCTCCCCTACCCCCAGCACACCTTCCCTACCCTCAGCACATCTCCCCTACCCCCAGCACACCTCCCTTACCCCCAGCACACCTCCCCTACCCCCAGCTCACCTACCCACAGCACACCTCCCCTACCCCCAGCACATCTCCACTACCCTCAGCACACCTCCCCTACCCCCAGCTCACCTACCCACAGCACACCTCCCCTACCCACAGCACACCTCCCTACAGCACACCTCCCCTACCCACAGCACACCTCCCCTACCCTCAGCACACCTCCTCCCAGCACACCTCCCCTACCCACAGCACACCTCCCCTACCCCCAGCACACCTCCCCTACCCCCAGCTCACCTACCCACAGCACACCTCCCCTACCCCCAGCACACCTCCCCTACCCTCAGCACACCTCCCCTACCCTCAGCACATCTCCCCTACCCACAGCACACCTCCCCTACCCACAGCACACCTCCCCTACCCTCAGCACATCTCCCCTACCCTCAGCACATCTCCCCTACCCTCAGCACACCTACCGCTCTGCAACTCCTGCTCACACTCACTTGGATGAGTCAGGAACAGGTTCTTTGCTCGGCAGGAGATTTTGTGGTACCTTTTTACAACAGTGTTTTCTTGGGAAAGAATGGGGAAATGCAGAGAATAACCTAAGCATCGTTTGTGTAGACACCATCCATCTTTCCCAAAGCATGATATTGTATGTGTGTGTCGGCATAGTTCCGTTTGAAAGAAATCATTCCTAATACATGTGAAGGGTCCTCCTACCTTCTGATTTGGTCCAGTTCGCCTCTCTCCCCCACAGTCCTGAATTGGGTGGGGTTTTTTTTGCCGCATGTTTTTAATGCTGTTACTGCATACTATGTGTGTATGTCCTTAAACTGGCATTGTTTTGAAGCTTTTATGTGACCAGCATGCCATTTCTCACTCTGCAGCTTGCTGCTTTAGGGCAGCATAGTATCTTTGAACTTTGTCCATGTTAATTTTAGGTCTAGTTCATTCATATTAACTAATGTATGCCATTGTAGGGATACACTCTTATTTCATTATTTTCCTGTTAGTGACTATTTTAGATTGTTTCTAACTTGGGGGGGGGGGGGGTTAATCTTTTAGAGAGAGGAAGGTGAGAGGAGACTTCAAATTGTTGTTTCACTTATTTATGCATTCATTGTTACTTCTTGTACTTACCCTGACCAGAGAAATAACCTAAGCCAGGGACATGTTTCTAGTTTTTAATGTTACAGTGTAGCAGTGAACATTCTTGTACCTGTCTTTTGTATACTTGTACTGGATTTTCTCCAACATGTTTAGCTATAAGTGAAATTTATGGCTTGAAAGGAATGTGGGATTCTTTTGCCTTCTCACTATCCCGCCCCCCCCAACCCTCCCAGATGGGATAGGTTCAGAATCATAGATTTGGAATTTTAGTGCCAGTAGGAACTTAGAAGGTGGGACACAAGATCTTAAGTGGTGTCAGGACTGAAGTAGTTATGGAAGGGAGAATGGAATGGTGGAAAGATCTTAAGTTTTGGAGTTCTGATTCTTCCTATCTTTTTAGATCTTGGGTATTTACTTGTGATGTGGCACTTGTTCAATACCTACCTCTCAGGGTTAAGATGCAGTTAATTGAATGATCATATATAATTAGCTTGTCCCATTCAACATACACACACACATGCCCAAACAATACTAAATGTGTCTTTAGCTCTCTTAGAGATAAAAGAGCTAAATCTTTAAAAAAAAAAAAAAAAAAAAAAAAAAAAAAAAAAAAAAAAAGAAGTTGTTACAACTTGAAATAACTATGGGAATTTTATTTTTTCTGCAACAAAATAACCAGAAAAAAAGTCACTTCTCTTGATGTTTCTCTTGTTTGTTTGCATTATTTTTAGAAAGTATATAGGCTATTTAACTTCCATTTGATTGTCTCTCCCTACCTAATGAAATTTTTAACCAAAGAGCATGTGATAAGTCAGTTTTGACCAGTTAAAATTCAAAAACAATTAAACAATCATGTATTTTTGTGTGTTAATGTTTACAAGGTTAATTTATTCACTAAAAAGACTGCTCTTTGAGCCCTAGCTGGTTTGGCTCAGTGGATAAAGCGCCGGCTTATGGACCAAAGCATTCTGGGTTCAATCTAGTCCAGGGCACATACCTTGGTTGCAGGCTCCTCCCTGGCCTCCGGCTCATGCAAGAGGCAACCAAGAGATGTGTTTCTCTCACATTGCTGTTTGTCTTTCCCTCTCTTTTCCCACTCTCTCTAAAATCAATGGAAATATCCTTGGGTGAGGATTAACAATACACACTCAAGACTGCTCTTTGAGATTACATCCTTTTTTTTTTTCTTTTAAATTCTTTATTGTTGAAAGTATTACATATGTCCCCTTTCCCCCCCATGGTCCTCTCCCCCCCAGCCCTGGCCTTCAATTCCATCCCATTGCTGTGTCCTTTGTTATGCTTAAATGCATACAAGTTCTTATCCCCTCAACACTCCCCAGCCTTCCCCCTGAGGTGATTCTGTGTCTCTGGATCTATTTTTGTTCATCAGTTTATGTTGATAGTTGTATTCCACAAATGAGTGAAATCATGTGATACTTATCCTTCTCTGATTGGCTTATTTTGCTTAGCATAATGCTCTCCAGGTCCATTCATGCTGTTGTAAATGGTAAGAGTTCTTTCTTTTTTATAACAGTGTAGTACTCCATTGTGTAAATGTACCACAGTTTTTTAATGCACTCATCTGCTGATGGGCACTTAGGCTCTTTCCAAATCTTAGCTATTAAAAATTGTACTGCTATGAACATATGGGTGCATATATTGTTTCTGATTGATGCTTCTGATTTCTTAGGATGAGATTACATTCTTACTGTAGGTGTTAATGGTCCTAAGATAGGTGATAGGATTAGTTGGTTATTTTGTATGTTTGTTTTTACTTTTCCTTTTTATTATAATTACAAATTTTACTAACCCATGTTGGTCCCAAGTTTTGTTTTGAAATTATTAGTTTGTGTAAATCCAAAAATCTCAGAAATTCTATTGTGCTATATTCAAGACTGTAATTTCCTGATGTCTAGGATCTTTTCAAGAGGAGCTTATATTCTATAACTGGTTGCCATTTAGTGTAAAGAATTTTATAATTATTCAGTATGAAAATAGTCTGGGTACCAGTCTACATGAAGGTGCTCACAAAATGTTAGAACTATTAAACTCTGATTCAAGCAATAGATGTTAAGTTGGGTATCTCAGAGACAAATCTATTTGTGATTTCTTTTTACAAGTAAGAATATTTCACAAGGACCTTCTAATGGAATGTTTTTATTTCTTTCCTGAGGGAGGGAAAAACATAGTTTTTACTTATTTTCTTTCAAGTGGCTGACTGCTCTAGATGGCACTTGACTTAGGTCTGTAGGGTATATTAGAGGTAGCCGTAGCCCAACTCCTATTCAAGCTCTTTGAATTTGAGCTGAGTGGTGTTGGCACAGTTGTCCTGATGCCAACACATGCTGCTTTTGACTTGAAAAGATATGCAGCCATGAAAGCTGAAGATGGTATGAATAGCCTTTCATCAATATAAATACAAAACACCCTTTTTTCCTTTAAAAAAAAAAAAAATGCCCTCACCGGCAGTTAGTACTAATAAGTAAACTTTTAAGGTAGCTAAGTTAACAAATGAGTTGAGATATTCAATGTATCAGTATGATATGATGCTCTAAATTTCTTCTGCTATTTAATTTTTCTTGAACAGAAACACCGTGCTGGACAGCCAGCGTAAACAAAAGCATTATGGAATCACTTCTCCAATTAGCTTGGCATGTCCTAAAGAAATTGATCACATTTACACACAGAAATTAATTGATGCCATGAAACCATTTGGAGTTTTTGAAGATGAGGAAGAATTGAACCACAGGTATGTCACATAAAAATATTTTATAGTATGTTATTTAATCATTAATTCTATAAACATATATCAGGTACCTATTATGTCCCTGCCTAAACATTTTTTTTAAAAGGATAAATGAAGAAAAATCTTGGCGTTCCTGGAATTTATATTTTAGGTGATTGTTAGGGAAGGAGACTAACATAGCCAAATAAGTAAAATAAATACATGTTACATGTGATGAATATTGCTGGGAAAGAGTAGTGATGCTGAGAAAAATAAAGCTGGGAATGGAGGTTGTCAGTGAAGGATTCATTGTCATTTCACAAAAAATTTGAAAATGAAGGAGCTATGTGAATAGTTGAGGGGAGAGCATTCTAGGCAGAAAGCTTGAGGTTAGAGTATACCTGCTTTAAGGAATGTATAGCAAGGTGGCCTGATGTCTAAAGCAGAGTAAGTAGGGAACATGGGCTTAAGGAAAGTGAGGTAGAAAGGAGTTCAGAGGGGGAATATCACTTAGTACATTGTAAGCCATTATAAGTTTTGATTTTGCCCTAGCTGTTGTTCTCAGTGGTTAGAGCATCAGGCCCCACACCAAAAGGTTCCGGTTTGATTCCCAATCAATGGCATGGACCTAGGTTCAGGTTCCATCCCTGGATTACATGTGGTAAGCAACCAATCAATGTGTCTCACATCCATGTTTCTTCCCTTCCCCTCCCCTATCTCCTTCCCCCTCTCCCTCTCCCTCATGTAAGGATTAACAAAAAACAAAAGTTTTGACTTTTACATTGAGTGAAATGGGAAGCTATTAGGGTTTTGACCAGAAGATTGACATGATTTACTCATATTTAATACAGTCACTCTGGCTGCTATATTGAGAATAATAGTCTGAAGAGAGATCAAGTCTTAACTGGAGAAATTAGTTGGAAGGCTAATATAATCAGGGAAGAAATGGTGGTGGCTAGCAATGGTGATGATAAGTAGTAGAATTTTGGATATGATTTAAAGGTAAAGTTGTCTGATGACTATGGAATGTGAGAGAGAGAAAGAGGAGAGAGGATCAAAAATGATGCCGAGGTTTTTGGTCTTGGCACCTTGTGAAGAATAGAATTTCATTATGTGGGGATGGCTGAGGGAGAAGCAAGTTTGGGCAGACCCAGGAATCCAGGTTTTCATGTTATCATTAAGATGCTTAAACTCTACTTCTTTCTCTTTTTTTTTGATCCTCACCTGAGAATATTTTTTTCATTGATTTTTAGAGAGAGGGAAAGAGAAATAGCGATGTGAGAGAAACACATTGATTGGTTGCCTCCTGCATGTGCCCCCACCAGGCCTGGACCAGGGAGGAGCCTGCAACCAACATTTCCTTGATGGGAATCGAATCCGGGACCCTTCAGTCTATAGGCTGGCACTTTATCCACTGAGCCAAACCAGCTAGGTTCTTCTTTCTTTTAATATGGATTTGAATATGCCATTGGTTGCAAATTTGTTTTAATATCAATTTGCATTTATTAAGAATATTATTTCATAAAAAGCAGCCAATAATTAGTTTACCATTTTAATTATCCAAAAACCTATAACTTTCAATGAGAGAATGCTAATCTCTATTATTATCACATTGAATTGATTTTTATTCCAATGTAGGGCCAAAAAATTTGAAAAATTTCATTGGCCTTTGCAGTCTTCTTAAAGGTAATTTGACCTTATTAGGCTTCTTGAATTTTGAAAATAACTCAAAGACGGAAACACTACTGTCATATATATTATCTCTTTGGAACTCTTAGGGACCTAAGAATGCCAAAGAGAGGTGATAGCATTAGTGTGTGTATAATATGCCTTTACCCTAACACTAACACAAAGGTACTGCCTATATACTTAGTTGCTTTTTAAGATATTGTTTGCTTATTCATTTGTTTTTTAATAAAAAGCATGCTATTTTTTATTCTTTTTATTATAGGCTGGTTGTTCTTGGTAAATTGAACAATTTAGTAAAAGAATGGATTTCCGATGTTAGTGAGAGTAAGGTAAGACTTTTAAAACTGCATTGAATTCATAGTGTCATTACATCCTCTTCTTTAGTCCTGGTAATAAGATGTAGAAGTTAAGAATAATCTGAAATACATTAAAACTGGCTCTTTGATATACTTGGTAATGAATTGATCTGGACAATTGAATCTAAAAAAAAAAAAAATGAGGGTTTACCTCAGAGGTAGCCAATTAGCTAAAGCTCCACATAAATATCTTGCATGACTCACAGTAGTGGGTTCGATTCTGGTCAAGGGCATGTACCTTGGTTGCGGGCACATCACTAATAGAGGGTGTGCATGAGGCAGCTGATCGATGTTTCTCTCTCATTGATGTTTCTAACTCTATCCCTCACTCTCCCTTGCTGTAAAAAATCAATAAAATATATATTTTTAAAAAGATTATTTGAATATTCTGTACACAATTGGGATATTTAAACAGTCTGTAACTCCAAAACAAATTATTTTAGTTAGTAGGTTTGTGGCAAAAATATTTTACTCAGATATTTGGTGTGTTACTTTCTAATGTCATATAAGAATCATGTTTTTCAAAGTAGGAAGGTCTTAGGAAGAGGGTAAAATAAAAGGTCCTTGCTTCTCTATATTTTGATTTACATTAGTCATCGATAAAACTACTAACTCCATTCTAGCTGTAAAATTATCCTATCTAATAAGAGTAATATGCAAATTGACCATTACTCCAACACACAAGATGGCCACCCCAATGTGGTCAAAGATGGCTACCTCCATGTGGACACAAGATGGCTGGCAGGGAAGGGCAGTTGTGGGCGATCAGGCCAGCAGGGGAGGGCAGTTATGGGAGGAACAGGCCTGCAGGGGAGAATAGTTCAGGGGGGACCAGGCCTGCAAGGGAGGGCAATTTTGGGGGCAACCAGGCCTGCAGGTGAGGGCAGTTGGCATCTATCAGGCTGGCAGGGGATGGTTAGGGGGTGATTAGGCTGGCAGGCAGAAGCAGTTAAGGGCAGGCAGGCAGGCAAGCAGGCAAGCAGTTGGGAGCCAGCAGTCCTGGATTATGAGAGGGATCTCAGATTGGAGAGGGTGCAGGCTGGGCTGAGGGACATACACACACACACACACACCATGCACGAATTTTGTGCACTGGGCCTTGAAACATTATTAAGCAGAAGAAGTAACAACAATATCCTGTTATACAGATATTTTTATTCAAGTTAATCAGCAGATATTATTCTTTGGAATTTGCACTGGGCATTGTGGAGAAATAAGAGTTGTTGGAGGCACCATTCTCACCTTCTAAGGGATTTAAATATAGTTGAAGAGGTGGAACTTACAGACAGAAAAAAGAAGATCACTAAATATAGTATAAAAGGGGTTAAAGATAGAGGAGCAGTGGCGGGGGAGGGGAAAATAATTAAGAAAGGCTTCATGAAAGAGGTGGAACTTGAAGTGAACTTTGAAAAATAAATGGTATTGAGATGGGCAAACATTCAAGGCAGGGCAAATGCAATGGAAAGGAGACTGGATGGTGTGACATGTTAGCAGTTGGATCTACAGAAGGGAAGGTCAGGAAATGAGGCAAGAAAGATTCATATGAGCATATTGTGAACTTCCTTAGGATCCAAGGATCCTTACCTCAGTGGTCAGGGAAGAGTGTATTGGGTAGAAGAGTTATAATAGAGTAATTTAAGAATATCAATCAGTGAATTTTGTACACAGTGGAATAAGAGAAAATAAAGACTAAGGGCAAGAGGTAGCTTTATGATACTCTTAAATATCCTAGAATTAAGGAGGTGGTATATACTAAATTGTAAGCCAAAAAGATGAATGAGTATAAGTATGGGCAGAAAGGTTGCTGAGCTAGGATCAAGATATTAAGCTTATCTGTCATTAAAAAAAAAAAGGCAAATGGGATTAGTTAAGAGTATTAAAGAATAAAAGACCAATATGCAAATTGTCCCTGTGGGAGTTCGACTGCTCGCTATTACATGCACTGAACACGAGGGGACGACGTAGAAGGGAGGCCCAGATCAGCCCTGATAGTCGGCCAGGCCTAGGGACCCTACCCATGCAAGAATTCCATGCACCAGGCCTCTAGTGATAATATAGAGAGCTGAAAGAGCATGAATTAGTTGGGTAAAATTTCTTGTGACTATTGAGAGTAATGGAGCCAAAGATATGCAATTAGAGAGGACAAGTAGGGTCATGTGATAAAAAGTATTTTTCTTACATAGAGATTTGTATATGTGTAGTGGGCATGGATTTTTGTCTTCCCTCCTTATTCAAGTTGGAACCAAAAGAGCTCTGAAATATTTGTACACATCTCAGCTTATTTAAGGTGACAAATACAGTATGTATCTGTAGCAGTTAGGTGACTTTTATGCTAAATAATTTGAATAATTGAATGCTTTTTGTTTAATTTTATTTTAGAACCTACCACCTTCTGTTGTGGCTGCTGTTGGTGGTAAAATTTTCACTTTTGGCTCTTATAGGCTTGGAGTACATACCAAAGGTAACGGGCTTTTCTTTGTTTTACTAATAAAAATGTTCACTAACAAACTTTTATTTATTCATAATTTTAAAATACAGAAGAAAAATTCCCATTATCTCACTACTCAGAACTAATTATTACTAGCATTTTCTATCATTACATATTTTCTTTTACCTGTTTGTGTGTACTTAACAAAAATATGATACATAATATGCACTTCTTGATAAGAAATATTTTGATTTGTAGGAGCTGACATTGATGCACTTTGTGTAGCTCCAAGACATGTGGAGAGATCTGATTTTTTTCAGTCTTTTTTTGAAAAATTGAAGCACCAAGATGGCATTAGAAATTTAAGAGTAAGTATCCTCTGGTATTTTGTATCTTGAACTTGTTAATAAAATTCTAAAAGCAGGTAGGGCTTACAATTATTGAAATATTTCTTAAAAAGTTACTCTATCTTGTTAAAATAATGGATAATGTTTAATAACATGGGCTTTATCATTTTACACATCTGGATTTGAATCTAGAAATCTACCAAATATTAGCTCTTAGATTTTGGTCACTACCCATTCTTTCTGAGCCTTTGTTTTCCTCTCTTGTAAAATGGAGATGGTGTATAATAACATTTTTATAAAGTTTTTTGAGGACCCATGAAATAATTTACATACATAAAGTTTAATTAGTAGTAACCCTTCATATGTATAGTCTAGACCCGGTGCACGGATTCGTGCACTTGTGGGGGCATGGCCTGTGGTGATCAGCCTGCTGTGGGGGTGCCACTCATCCTGGTCAGCCGAGCGGTGCTCCCACAGTGGGAGTGCACTGACCACCGGGGAAAGCTCCTGCGTTGAGAATGTGCCCCTGGTGGTGAGTACACACCGTAGCAACTGGTCGACAGATTGTTCTGGTAGTTCCACTATTTAGTTGCTGGGCTTTTATGTATGTAGATATATAGCCATTCATTCAGCAAATTAGTTTCAACACTAATGATCCATCAGACGTTAGCCTTAGTCCCACAAATACAAGTGAACAAGACATAGTTTATGGGAAGAAGGGGATGGGGGAACTAACCGAGTGAATAGTTCTAATACTATCTGAGATGTTAGGATAAGGTGAAGTTCAAAGGCTCTGCATTATTTGGGTGTGTGGGAATGAAGAAGATTAAAAATTTATATTAGGATTAAAGAAGACCCAGACTTTTCTACTAAATCCAAACTATATTAACTGTATTATTTTTGATAGATTAATCATAAATTCTGATTGTATTTTAATTTCTAACACAAGTGCTCTTTGTAATCAGTTTTCAGTTTGATCAACAATCATAAGTACTCAGATGATAACAATTCTGCCTGCCAGTCTATGATGAATATTTTTATGAGATTAAGATAGATAACAACTGTCATAGACATTTTGTGCATCTTAAATAACACAGTCACAAAGTAGAAGTATTTACCTAGAATGTGAGGCCAAGAACATTTTCACTTTTTCTTTTGAGTTTAATACAAATTGGGAACAAAGGAATTCACATTATTGGTAATTAGGAATGATGTAGAAAGGATTACAGTTTATATAGAGAGAGCAAAGGCATTCATATTATCGGCAGATAGGAAAGATGTAGAAAGGATGATGCCATATATGTATGTGTGTATATGTATATGTAGATATACATATACATATACACACACAGAGACAGTCCTTGGGTTATGTAGGACTCAATATATGTCATTTCATGGTTTCGTCATCATCTCCCATACTATCGAGTAAGTAATATGCAAATTAACCATCACCCCACTACACCCACAAGCCACACCCACCAGCCAATCAGGAGCGAGTAGGCAAATTAACCCAACCAAGATCACTATGGCCATGGAGAGAGCAGGAGGGAGTCTTGGGTTTCCCCGGCAATGGAGGAAGCTAAGCTTTCTACACACTTTGGCCAGCCCAGGCCTCTGCTTAAGGCTACAAAGTTTCAATTATAGAAAATATAGATAAATCCTAACAGAAATGGCTGCCATCACAGAGCCAGCAGGAGGCTTGGCTCTGCTCCAGGCTACAAAGTTTCAATTGTAGAAGATAAATAAGTTTCAGATACCAGGGCCTCCGCTTGGGTTGCTGGGGTGTGTGGCTGGCCTGAAAACCACTTCTGGCCCCTCGTTCAGGCCACTCCATGCTCCAAGGGAACCCCCACCCTGATCTGGGACACCCTTCAGGGCAAACCAGCTGGCCCCCATCCATGCACCAGGCCTCTATCCTATCTAATAAAAGAGTAATATGCAGATTGACCATCACTCCAACAAACTAGATGGCTGCCCTCATGTGGTAAAAGATCCTGCCCCCATGTGGATACAAGATGGCCAGCAGGGGAGGGTCGTTGGGAGAGACCAGGCCTGCAAGGGAGGGCAGTTAGGGTTGATCAGGCTGGCAGAGGAGGGAAGTTGGGGCAAACAGGCTAGGAGAGGAGCAATTAGACATCAATCAGGCTGACAGAGGAGTGGTTAGGGAGTGATCAGGCTGGCAGGCAGAAGCAGTTAGGGACAATCAGGAAGGTAGGCAGGCGAGTGGTTGGGAGCCAGCAGCCCTGGTTTGTGAGAAGGATGTCCAACTGCACATTTAGGCCTATCCCACCGAACATCTCTCAAGGGGTCCCAGATTGGAGAGGGTGCAGGCTGTGCATGAATTTCGTGCACTTGGCCTCTATTTATAAAAAAAAAAAAAAAAAAAAAAGTTGGTCATTTCAACGTATGTACATATGTGCTTTTTGTTTTTTATTATTTATTTACCTCAAATAAAGGTCAGGAATTGTTATCTTTTAAATTTTTTTTACTGTTTCACTTAATGACTGCTATGTATGTGCTCCATGTGAGTGACATAGGTACTTACGTAGGTGGGTTCTGAGTTATAGCAAAGTGCTATAGGAACGGATCTCCGTCGTAACCCGAGGACCTACTGTGTGTGTGTGTGTGTGTGTGTGTGTGTGTAAATTTTTCTTCTTTTGTAGGCTGTAGAAGATGCCTTTGTTCCTGTTATAAAATTTGAATTTGATGGAATTGAGGTAAGTCTTTTTAATATTTTTCTGACTTTACAGTTGAACTATTTAATCCATTAGGGCTTTTTGAGTTATTTTCTTTTTAAAAAATAAGACTTAAAAATCTATTTTAACTAATCAAATAGTCTTTAAATAGACCGTCACATTTCTCTCTCCTCTATCTGTTGATTCCTCACCATGGAAAATGAACCAACTTTCATCCCTACCCTAGTCTCATTTCCATAATCTCCTAAAAAATAATATTATGTTAATTGTTTTGCGATTTGTTTGCTTGGGCCTTATTCTTTTTTTTTCTTTTTTTAATATATTGATTTTTTTACAGAAAGAAAGAGAGGGATAGAGAGTTAGAAACATCGATGAGAGAGAATCATTGATCAGCTGCCCCCTGCACACCCCCTACTGGGGATGTGCCCGCAACCAAGGTACATGCCCTTTAACAGAATCGAACCTGGGACCCTTCAGTCTGTAGGCCGACACTCTATTCACTGAGCCAAACCGGTTTCGGCACTTGGGCCTTATTTTTAAGACTAATTCAAACCCCCCTGTCATAGTTGTCTAAATCTCCTTTAAATAAATTTCTCAAGTATTCTGTGATCATTATGAAAAAATATCTCAGAATCTTCTCACCTGTTCTAATTCATGGCTGATACACCTGACATCCTAACACCTTTTTTTTTTCTTCTTTTTTTACTATCATCCTGGGATTTCCTCTTGCCTCTCTCTAGAGTTTTCTTTCTTAATTCTCATTTTAGTGCCACTCATCCACTAGCTTCCTGAGAAAGCACACATATTTTTGAGATCTTGTATATTTAAAATGTGTACTTTTCTCACACCAAAATGGTAGTTTGGCTAAGTAATAGTTCTAACAATTTTGAAGGCCTTGCTTCATTGTCTTCTAGCTTCCATGCTATGTTGAAAAGTGTGATGCCATTTTAATTCCTCATCCTTTGTATGTAATCTCTTTTGTCTCTTTGGACACTTACATGATTTTTTCCTTCTAGTCTTCTCAGTTGTAAAATTCATGGTGATATAGTTTAGTATATGTCTTTTCAATCAGATATGCTAGGTATTCAGTAGTCCTCTTTCAACTTAGAAACTCCTGCCCTTCAGTTCTTAGAAATTGTATTGACTTCCACTGGATTTCCTGCCTTTGTTTCTTCTCTCCTTTCTGGAGCTCCTAAATATTTGTGTGCTGGACCTCTAGGATTGCCGCCCCTCATTTTTTTCTCCAAAATTTTTCCTTCCACTTATTGGCCACATCTTCATATTTTTGTCCTACTTTTTGTGGTTTTTTCTTCCAAACTTTCTATTGTTTTCCATTTCTGCTGTCACATATTTAATTTCTAAGAGTTTTTTTATTCTCTTAAATATTCCTCTTTATTATGTATGTATTTATAGTCTTTTGTCCTTATTTCCTGGTTATAGATATTTTTAATCTTTGCTATTTGAGATCTGCTGAGTCTGTTACCACTTACCCATCTACTTTCCAGCTTTCATAATTTTTGTTAATGTCTCATATTTTCCTTTGTCCTAGTGCATTATGTATTTAAAACAAAACAAAACTAAATAAAAACAAAACAAAATTTTGCTGGTATTTTAGACAGGTTTCAAGAGGGAGTGAATATAAATGTGTGTTGGATTTGTCACCTTTATCTAGAAATTCACTTCTAAGGTCTTAAGTTGATGTGTTTCTGTTTGTTTGTTTGTTTTTAATGCTTGGCATATATGTTAAAATTAAAATGCTTTCCCTTAATTTGAAGATTCAGTTGCCTTCACAAAAATTTTCAGTGATTTTTGCATCTGAGATTGCCTACATAGGCCTTTTGAAGTTTTAGAGAACTTCCAAAACTAATAATTACAACATTTTACCTTTTTAAGGTGGGGAAAGGGGAGAATGGACTAGAAGGAGAGAAAATAATATTTTTCTCTTTTTTTGCATCTTTCCAAAGATTGACCTAGTTTTTGCAAGACTGGCAATACAAACCATATCAGATAATTTAGATCTAAGAGATGATTCTCGACTGAGAAGCCTTGATATAAGGTGTATTCGCAGCTTAAATGGTAAGCTTCTAAAAAGAAATCTCAGCCATCTGCCTGAAAACAAAAATCTTTTTGCAGAACTAGTAATGGACTTTTAAATCATTTTTAAAATGATGTAATTTTCTCTGTACACATTTCTCGGACCACATTTAAACATCTTTAAAAGAAACTTGTTTGAATGTTGTTGATGTTTGTAATAGTGGTTCTCAAAAGTATTGGTCTCAGGACCGGTTTGCACTCTAAAAATTTATTGAGGACCTCAAAGATCTTTTGTTTATGTGGGTTATATCTAATACTGACCATCTAATATGGTCAATATTTACCATATCAGAAATAAAAATCGAGAAAGTTTTAAAGTGTGTGTTAGTTCATTTTAAAAATAACAGTAAAAATTTTTGTGTGAACAATGGCTTTGGTTTGCATTTTTGCACATCTTTTTAATATTTGACTTAGTAGAAGATAGCTAGATTTTCATATCTGCTTTTATAGTCAATCTCTTACAATATTTTGTTTTAATTGAAGCATAGGAAGAGATATATAATTGGAATAGGGAAGATAATTGTAGATATTCCTTGATATTACACTAAAACTTGACCGGTGACAGTTTTGTTTTGTTTTTTCTTTTCCACAATTTTATTGAGGTCTAATTACATACAAAAAAATTCATTCTTTTTAGGTATACAATTTAGTAGTTTTTAGTATATTTAGAGTTGTGCACCACAATTGAATTTTGGAACATTTTCATCATCCTCTAAATATCCCTCATACCTATTTGCAATCATTCCCTTTTCCAAATCCTCAATCCCAGGCAACCCCTAATATATTTTTTCTTTCTATAGATTTGCCTTACCTGGACATTTCATATAAATGGGAACATTAGGGGGTTTTTTTGTTTGTTTTTTTAAAATATATTTTATTGATTTTTTACAGAGAGGGATAGAGAGTTAGAAACATCGATGAGAAAGAATCATCAATCAGCTGCCTCTTGCACACCCCCTACTGGGTATGTGTCCGCAACCAATGTACGTGCCCTTGACCAGAATCGAACCTGGGGCCTTTCAGTCTGCAGGCCAACGCTCTATCCACTGAGCCAAACCAGTTTTGGTGAACATTAATTTTATGTGTCTGGCTTCTTTCATTTACAATGTTTGTGAAATACATCTGTGTTTGTAGTATATATCAGTAGTTTTCTCCTTTTATTGCTGAGTAAGTTATCTTTTTCAAAAGGTTAGTTAGAATATCTAATCTAAAATCATATCAGTTAACTTTTTGAACTGTTACATTAAAAATGCATTGGTCTGCCGAAACCGGTTTGGATCAATGGATGGAGTGTTGGCCTGCAGACTGAAGGGTCCTAGGTTCGATTCCGGTCAAGCGCATGTGCCTTGGTTGTGGGCACATCCCCAGTGGAAGGTGTGCAGGAGGCAGCTGATAGATGATTCTCTCTAATCGATGTTTCTAACTCTCTATCCCTTTCTCTTCCTCTCTGTGAAAAATCAATAAATATATATTTTAAAAAATGCATTGGTCTGTCTTGTTTTTTAATTGGATTTTTACCCATGCTTGATTTTGTACGATGATGCCTTGATCATTTGGAAAATTCTGGTTCACAAAGTTATTTGGCTCTTCTAAATGTTAATTCACATTTTGTTATAAAATCAAAATTACATTTATTAATATATCGAATATCATCAGACAAGTCTAAGTATTAAAATGCTGTCAAGTTTACAGTAACAGGTATTATCCATAATTCTAATTTTTTACTTGGAAGCTCAAATGTTATTATTGGCAACAAATATTGTCATTTGTTTTCCTTGATATAGGGCTCACTTTGTTTTGTTTTTAGAAAGTATCTGCTAAATACTCAAGCATGAATAGCCATAGTTGTCTGTCAATCATTATTTCAAATAAAGTTGGTATTCCTTTAAAAAAAAAAAAAACACAAAAAAAACGGGTAGCTCAGCTTGCTTCAAACATGTTCAAATTCCGTACAGATTCCATAGCTCTCTTCTAACTGCAAATGTCTGGCGGTAAACATGTGTAATGCGTAGTACAGTGTTGCTACAGCTTTAATTTACTGCTTAGGTATCAGCAGTTTTACCCACCACTTCTTTCAATGCACATGTTAACATAGTGAAACAGGCAAAGAAAGCCTTAGTGCAGTTATAAATAGGTTTGATTTAAAGATTCCCTGGGGTCCATAGACCATACTTTAAGAACTACTGGTTCATAGTATCTTTTAACTGAATCATTGTGTTTTGCTGTCCTTCCAGAGTGCAACAGTAAATCAGTGTTTGTGAATAAGATTTGCATTAAAGCAATAACATTCTTATAACTTGGGATATTTGATTAACAGTCAAGTCAAATGTGGAAGAATGCTAAAAAGATAGTCAGACTATCTCTTATTTTAGTATTAGATTGCTTTACCCATGTGCTTTTGAATTATTTAAATGAATTTAATTCTTTAAATGAAAGTCTTTGAATTAACTGGGTTTTTGTTGCATAATGAAATATGAATGCTTTATCTTTTTCAGGATGTAGAGTTACTGATGAAATTTTGCATTTAGTGCCAAATAAAGAAACTTTTAGACTCACCCTGAGAGCAGTCAAATTATGGGCAAAAAGTAAGTATCCCAACTCTTTTATTGTATGTTCACATTATAAAATTATAATTTTCTTTTTTATTATTGACAGTATTACAAATGTCTCCCATTTTCTCCTTTTTGCTTCCTCTACCCAACCCTTGCCCTCTCTAGGCCTTCCCCATACTGTTGTCTATGCCCATGGGTTAAACATACATGCATATATGTTCTTCGGTTAATCTCTTCCTGTCCCCTCACCCCCCAACCCATACTGAGATCTGTTATTTTGTTTGTGCATCCATACCTATGGACCTATTTTGTTCATTAGATTCCACATATAAGTGAGATCATGTGATATTTGTCTTTCTCTTACTGGCTTATTTCACTTACATAATAGTCTCCAAGTCCATCTGTGCTGTCATAAAGGGTAAGAGATCCTTCTTTTTTACAGCCACATATTCCATTGTGTACCACACTTTTTTATCCACTCATCTACTGATGGGTTCCTGGGCTTTTTTCAGATCTTAGCTATTGTAAATAATGCTGATATGAACATAGGAGGGCATATATTTTTTCTGATTGGTGTTTCCTGATTCTTAGGATATATTTTTAGAAGTGGGATTGCTGGGCCAAATGGCAGTTCCATTTTTAATTTTTTGAAGAACCTCCGTATTGTTTTCCACAGTGACTGCACCAGTCTGCATTCCCACCAGCAGTGCACTAGAGTTCCCTTTTTTTTTTTTTCTTTTTAATATATTTTATTGATATTTCACAGAGAGGAAGGGAGAGAGATAGAGAGCCAGAAATGTCAATAAGAGAGAAACATTGACCAGCCGCCTCCTGCACACTCCCTGCCGGGGAAGTGCCCGCAACCAATGTACATGCCCTTGGCCGGTATCGAACCCAGGACCCTTCAGTCCGCAGACCGATGCTCTACCACTGAGCCAAACCGGTTTCGGCAGTTCCCTTTTTTCTATATCCTTGTCACCACTTAGTGTTTGTTGATTTATTGATGTAGCCATTCTGGCAAAATTATCATTTTCAGTTGCTAATAATAGAAGCATACACGAAAACTCTGGAGCCTATTGATACCGACTGAGGTCCAATAAGTTTTGGGGAAGCTATTTCTTTTTCAGGTGCAATAGTTACGGTGCTATAATGTGTAATTCTACTTCTTTCTCCATGGATGAAAACTGTAAAGCCCCTGACTTTCCATCTTGGGTTTCAGCCAGGCAGTCGGAATAAGTTAGGACTTGAAGAATGAACTCCTTACTGATCTTCGAGCTCTGACTGGTTAGGACTGCCTTACTTATCTTTGTCTTCCCATCCCCAACAAAGTTTATAGTTAGTGTTTAGTAAATTTATTAAATGAAAAGCCTACAGTGACAGTTTTATCTTGTTTTTGTTTTTACACTATAACACCCTTCTAATAAAACCTGGAACTGCACTAGTTTAAATGTATAGGATATGGTTAGTAAAAGGCCCAGTCCTGAGCTGCATGCACATTTGTACTATCTGTAACTACATTCAACTGCTACACTTCAGGCACCAGGTTTTTCATAGTCTGAAATAGTGCTCTCCAATAAAAACTTTCTGTGATTATGGAAATGTTTCCTACCCTGTTTCCCCAAAAATAAGACAGTATCTTATATTAATTTTTGCTCCCAAAGATACGCTAGTTCTTATTTTCAGGGGATGTCTTATTTTTCCATGAAGAAGAATACGGTACACATTTATTGTTAATGAAAATAAAGGAAATTTATTACCTGTATACGGTATGGTAATACGGTAGTTGCCAACACAAATTAGACAAACTGTGGATCCTACAGTATCAAGAATTTACTCATTTATTCAGTGACAATCATGTCATCATCTTCTGGAACATCATCATAACAATCCAATTCCTGAATTTCCTGGTGAATTTCTTGTGACTCCATTTCTTTCAGAATCAGTAGACCAAATCTCTCATGTTTAGCAATAGCATTCTGAGATAGAGCCTAGGGGGGGCCTTATTTTCAGGGGGAGGCCTTATATTTCACTCAGAAGGAAACCTGTAAGTAGGTCTAATTTTCGGGGAAACACGGTATTGTGCTCTCCAATACAATAGCCATGTAGCTACCAAGTCCTTGAAATGTGTAAGTGAGGAACTAAATTTTATTTAATTTAAAATTAAATAGCACCTAAGAAAAGTAAAAAGGTATGTCCACACAAAAACTGATACACAAGAGTTCATAGCAATTTTATTCATAATAGTAAAAAAGTAGAAGCAACCATATATAAACTGAACAGGTAAACAAAAAGTGCTATACCCATAATGTGGAGTATTATTTGGCAATAAAAAAGGAATGAAGTATATTGATATATATTACAACATAAATGAACATTAAAACCATTATGTTGAATGAAAGAAGCTAGTCGTAAAAGTCCACATATTGTCCACTTATATGAAATGTCCAGAATAGCAAATCTATAGAGACAAAGTAGATTATAGGCTGCCTAAGTTATGCACCCCCTAAGTTTGGGAGCACAGGAAATATGATGTTAAAGGTTTCTTTTGAGGGTGATGAAATGTTCCAGAATTGATTATAGTGATGATTGCACAACTCGGTAAAGAATATATTAAAAGCCATTGAATTTTATACTTTAAATGGATGACTCATAAGGTATGTTAATGATGTCTCAATAAAAGCTGTTATATCCCCCTTCAAAAAAAAATAGCCAAATATAACTAGTAGCTACCATAATACTAATGCATATCTAAAAAAAACCTTAAGCAAGTAGAATTTGTCTTTTGGCTCAGTTACCTTGTATAGTCAGGATAAAGTAATTTATACTGAGAGGATATCACAAGTAATTTGTCTTCCCTTACAGATTAAATGCCATGTTTTGTTAATTCTTAGATGCATATCTTTCACATTTAATATATCTGAAATTGATATATAAAAAAATTTCTATTTTTTCTCTTGCTTGCTTAATGGGATATAAAATTATATAATTGGAAGTATCTTAAGTTTGCTGAAATATGGTAATGCTTTTTTATAGATTGCTATAAGAAATATTATACAAGAATTGATGATATCAGTGATGTGCTTTATGGAAAATTCTAAAGTTATGCAAATTATGCAGAATAATTATGCAAAATACTAAAGTTAGTCCCCAGCTTTACACTTGATTTTAAAATGCCCATGAATATGATTACTAATGAAATGTTTATTCTTCCCTACTTATAGAACTCTCCAGATATCTTGCCTTTTTTCATTTCTTTCTCAACCGTAAATATTGAAATGTGGGAGATCCCAATATCATACCAATGGAATCTAGTTGGGCAGTCAGAACTCAGAGAATAAGGTGTCTGTATTGGAGGGCAAAGTTATGGGGCTATGGTGAGCAGGTTATGGTTTATCAATAAGATGAGGCCTAGCTTGAAGGTCTACTTATTGATGTTAGTGTGTTTTTTAAAAAACATTTTTTATTGATATCAGAGATGGGGGGCGAGAAAAACATCAATGATGAGAGAGAATCATTGATCAGCTGCCTCCTGCACGCCCCCTACTGGGGACCCTGTCTGCGTTTCAGGCACGTTTCCTGACCTAGAATCAAACTCCTGGTCCATGGGTTGATGCTCAACCACTAAGCCACATCAGCTGTGCGATTTTAATGTTTCTATAGAGAGAAAGAGTTCTAAGCAACAATCTTATGAAGGAAGTAATCCTTTTCTTTACAGTTGAATGACATGGATAATAGGTCCTAACAATAATTAACAAATATATTAATTTTATAGGACGTGGTATTTATTCCAACATGCTGGGATTCCTTGGTGGTGTCTCTTGGGCAATGTTAGTTGCAAGAACTTGCCAATTATATCCAAATGCAGCAGCTTCTACTTTAGTTCATAAGTTCTTTTTAGTGTTTTCCAAGTGGTAAGTATCCAAGAAAAAATTTTTCACTTATTTACTAACCTCTGCCTATTTGGAAATTTGTTTGGAAATTTAAGAGCTGTGTCTAGATTTTTTTTTATTATTATTGTCTTAACATTCCCTTTTTATTTATATATATTTTGGTTAATCCTTACCCGAGGATATTTTTCCATTGATTTAGATAGAGTGGAAGGGGAGGGAAAAGGAATGGGGGAGAGAGAAACATCAGAGCTGGGGACTGAACCTGCAACCCAGGTATGGGCCCTTGACTGGGAATGGAACCTGAGACCTCTTGGGTGTATGGGCCAATGCTCTAACCATTTAGAAACACTGGCCAGAGCTTACATTCTTTTTTTCCTTTTTTTTTTTTTCTTTCTTTTTTTTTTTTTTTAATTTGAAAACATCAAATTTGAGGCCGTGATGGGACACCAGATGTCACTTTCCGGGGGTCTGTAATGTGCATCTTTAGCTTGAAAGAGTGGTCACAATACAAGCCAATTACTAATTATGTCGAGGTCATTTAAGATCTCCTCATGTAAAATAGATATTATAATCATAGCTGCTGCATGGGTTTGTTACGTAGGAGTATTTTCAGTGAATATTAACTGTTGCTGTTGCCAGAGTTAATCCTTGAATGTAAATGAGAAGGAAAGGAAACATTCAGATTTAAATTAGATACAGCTAATGGACAAAACATTTCAGAGAACACTGCTTTAAAATGAGTAGCTATTTTCAATTTTTTTAAATGCCAAATACCCAAAACATTTGCTGTATGAAAGTTGGAACAAAGTTAAATGATCTTAATATTTTATATGGTTGCCGAGGTGAGGCCCTGTGTGAGCTAATCTGTCTTATCATGTTAGGGAATGGCCAAATCCTGTGCTGCTAAAGCAACCCGAAGAAAGCAATTTGAATTTGCCTGTTTGGGATCCTCGAGTAAGTGACTTATTATAGAATTTCATTAAGTCTTTTATGAAAAGGACAATTCTCCAAATTATAATCTAAAGATAATTCTTGTGCCTGCTCATCTTCTTTCTAATGTAACTATAGTCCCTTCCCTTCCTTTGCTGTATTTTTTTTATGCAGATGATATGTTTTTCCAATGATAATCCAAATGTTATGTCATTAAAAATCATCTATATAAGACTATGGGAGTGGTTATATCAACCAAAATGTCATAATCTATTTTTAAAACTGTCTTACAGATAATTTTTTTCTTTTTTTAAAATATATTTTCTAATATATTATCAAAAATAATATATTGATTTTACACAGAAAGGAATTAAGAGGGACAGAGAGTTAGAAATGTCGATGAGAGAGAAATATCGACCAGCTGTCTCTTGCACACCCCCCACTGGGGATGTGCCCGCAACCAAGGTACATGCCCTTGACTGGAATCTAACGCGGGACCTTTCAGTCCGCAGGCCGATGCTCTATGCACTGAGCCAAACCGGTCCTGGCCAGATAATTTCTAATACAGTACTGAAGCATATATGTAAAAGATTTGCTTTGCAGTACAATTTAAAAAGCAGATTCATGGTTCTAAAATAGCATAAGTATCACTTTGCATTTTAATTTGCTTTTAGAATAATTGCTCATTTCTCTGAGTAACATAGGGGAAGTCACCCATTAAATAGGTGCAGAAAAAAGATTGAGAACCATTGGACCAGACAATGCTTATTTGCAGCTATGATACTGTATTTCCCTGTTCCTAAGAGACTATTGTTTATATGGTTCACCATCAATTTAACAGCTTTTCAGGGGGAAAAAATAAACTTCTACTGTAGAGTTTCCATTGACTGTCAGTCACATCTGACTTCAGAAATAAATGTAGTTGGGGAGAGGAAATGTTCTTTTAGACTTGAGGAAATGTATTAAATTTGTATTTCATATTCTTTAGACTTTTGGGGAAATGAAATGAGGACAACTGAAATAGGAGAATAGATCAATTATTCTGCTTCTAATTTCACAGGTAAATCCATCAGATAGGTATCATCTCATGCCCATAATCACCCCTGCCTACCCACAACAGAATTCTACGTACAATGTGTCCACATCAACTCGAACAGTAATGATAGAAGAATTTAAACAAGGTAAACCTATGGGCCCTATTGCCCTTTAGATATTCCCATAAGGTTTTGGTTGACAACAGTTTTATTCTATTTTGCAGTTACTTGTGCCTTTTATTTCTTAAAATTCTTTCAAATGTGTATTTATTTTTTCAATAGTTGGTTTTCCAAAATATAATATTAAGGCCAAAAATGGAATCAGCCTAATCTGGTTGAAGTTGACTTTTGTGCTCTGAGAAAGAACATAATAAAGTTACTTTTTTTTTTTTTCTTTTTTTTTTAAACTCAAGAATTTGGTGGGATTAGAGGTTTGGGAATAGGATAATACAATAGTGCAGAAGGTGATAATATGATAGTCATTAAAATTTTCTCTCTCTCTCTTTCTCTCTCTCTTTCTCTCAACTTAGGTCTTTCAGTCACAGGTGAAATTCTTCAAGGGAAATCAGATTGGTCCAAACTACTTGAGCCACCAAATTTTTTTCAAAAGTATAGGTATTTAAAATTTTTCATTTTGTGTGTATGTGTATAAAGAAGAACATTAAACTTATTACAAAGTTAATAAATGATAGGTCACACTTGTCACATATATTTCAAATGAAAGAGAATAGGTTACCAGAACTCCTGAATGATGTTTCCATATTGTAGTAGTATAGTATGTAACCCAATGTTAGTGGCTTTTTGTTTGTAGTGAATTGTTTTTTTCATTGCAATGTCTGGAATTAATTTTGTGAAAATTAAAGTATGTTTTGGTTTTCATAAACTGTGTGCGTGCATTAGCTCTTTTGTTCATTGGGAGAAAGAAAAAGTAAGATGGAAAAGCAGATACTAACAATGTTTATGGTTTTTTTTATTCCCCTGATTGTTGCTGAAAATTCTTCGTAGACATTATATAGTATTGACTGCCAGTGCATCAACAGAAGAAAACCATCTCGAGTGGTAAGACTTATATTTCAAGTTCTCTACTTACTGTTATAAATGATAAAGCACCATATAAATATGTTATCACCATAAACACTTTTCTATTTTCAAAATTTTTAAATCTTATTAATGATTGTTGTACATGACCATGGAGCATCAACCACTGATTTATATATTGTCTATGGCTGCTTTCCTGCTACAAGGCAGAGTTGAACATTTCAACAGAAACAACGGAGCACAAAGGCTAAAATTTTTATGTGGCCTTTATAGAGAAAGTTTGCCAATCTCTCATTTAGATTACCTTGAGGAATAATTCAGTATTTTATATACCTACTGTTGGAGCACACACAGTTATAATGTGTAAGCTTTTTCTAGTGTTTAAAAAAATGTAAAAGTATTCTTGTAGCTGGTCTTTCTAATTCTTAAAATCATTAAATTAATGATAGATGACAGCAGTCACATTTCTTTTTTTTTTTTTAAAGAAAGGAACGTGCTTTTTATTTATTTTTATATTTATTTATTTGTTTATTTTAAATATATTTTATTGATTTTTTACAGAGAGGAAGGGAGAGAGATAGAGAGCTAGAAACGTCGATGAGAGAGAAACATCGACCAGCTGCCTCTTGCACACCCCCCACCAGGGATGTGCCTGCAACCAAGGTACATGCCCTTGACCAGAATTGAACCCGGGACCTTTCAGTCTGCAGACCAACGCTCTATCCACTGAGCCAAACCGGTTTCGGCAGCATTCACATTTCTTAAGTGAGATAGAAAGTTGCTGAAATCTGATGAAACTGGTAATTTTAGGAGTATCTGATCTGATTTTAGTGAATTTTAAAATGCAATATCTAGTATCAATTCTGTGAAAATCTTAGCCTTTTAAAAAAAAAATATTAGTGAAGGAGTATTATATGTGTATTTCATAAATTAAGGGCCAATTACTAGCTTTTTGAGTCACATTATTTAAACATATCTTACCCTTTTTAAAGAGATATATCTTTATTGATGAAAAAGTATTACAGGTATTCCCTCTCTTAATTCCTCCCTTTTCTGTCCTCCACCAAGATCCTGCCCAACCCCAGGTCTTCACCACCTTATTGTCTGTGTCCATGGACTATGCATAGCTTGTGTAATAAAAGGCTAATATGCAAATTGACCAAACAGGGGAACAACTGGTCACTATGATGTGCACTGACCACCAGGGGGCAGGCACTCAGCGTAGGAGCTACCCCCTGGTGTCAATGCGCTCGCTGCTCAGCCAGGAGATGAGCTCATGACTGGTGAGTGCAGCAGCATTGTGGGAGTCTGTGGCAGCACTAAGGACCCCTTGGGGGATGTCCACAATTGCCAGGTGGACATCCCCCGATAGGTCCCAGGCTGAGGGATGCCCACCCTCAATTCCCCAGTGCACAAATATTGTGCACCAGGTCTCTAATATTCATATAAGTTCTTTGGTTAACCTTTTCCCCCTATTCTCCCCTTTCCTCTGATCTGAGATTAGCCTTAGAATCTATATATATATAAAGCCAGCAACTAGAAGCTGGAATGACCAGATGCTGTGATGCCCACTGTGGTCATAGAATTGGCCCAATCAGGGGGTGGGGCCAATCGGCCAACCTCTCACAGCCCCTCCCCCCAGCCAGCCTTGTCCCCTATGAACTCCTCCACCCTAATTGGCCCATAGCCCTTCCCCCTGTCCAGCCCCACCCCTGATTGCCACCCCCCCCCCCACCCTGGGGGCCAGCAGGCCAACCTCCTGCAGCCCCTCCCCCTGGCCAACCCTGCCCCTGATGTGCCCCCACCACCTTGATGTGCCCACAGTCCCTCTCCCCGGTCAGTTCTGCCCCTGATCACCCCCCTTCACCCCAATAGGGGGTGGGGCCAGATGGTCAACCTCCTGCAGCCCTTCCCCCTACCAGGCCCCACCCCAAGTGGGTCCCCCCCACCCTGATTGGGGGCAGGGCCTATTGGCCAATCACCAGTGGCCCCTCCCCAGCTGCTGGCACCTGATCAGCACCCACACCCTCATTTGGTGGCAGGGATAGCAGGCCGGCAGTCCCTCCCTATAGCCGGCCCTGCCCCCAATCAGCCTCCTAACCCCAATTAGGGGCAGGGCCCACCGGCCAATCGCCTGCAGCCCCCAGCCAGCCATGCTCTAATTGGGCCCCAATTGGGGTGGGCCAGCCAGCCAACCTCCCGCTTTCTCCTCCCCACAGATCTAGCCCCAATCTGCCCCAATTGGGGCCGGGCTGGCTGACCCCACCCATGCACAAATTTGTGCACTGGGCCTCTAGTTTAGACATAAAATTTGAAAGTGGAAAAAGATTTAGAAACAAATATGCTCAAATCAAAACTATTTTATGGTCTTTACATGTCAGTATTTTAAATCAGGAATGCATTAAATAAATGAGTTCTTTTTAAAAAGGGGGGGGGCAAGAAATTGATTAAGTAACTTGTCATTTTTACTTCAATAGTATTTTAAAGAGTAATATATTGGACTGAATTTCTTAAATGAATATGTAAAGCATCATAGCTGAGAGTGCTGTTTTGTTTACTTGAATATAGTTTTCAAATTTAATATGGAAAAATCTTATCTTTTATTTTAGGGTTGGATTAGTAGAATCAAAAATTCGTGTGCTTGTTGGAAATTTGGAAAGGAATGAATTTATTACTCTTGCCCATGTAAATCCCCAGTCATTCCCAGGAAATAAGGAACATTATAAAGAGTGAGTGAATTATTTTTTTAATAATATATTTCTTAAATAATATTGACATATGCATTGTTTAAGATCAGTTGTGAAACTGTTGTTTAACAGGCATTGCTGGGGGGGGTGATACATTATGTATTTGAGTAGTTATGCATTAAAACAAAGTACATGCTATATTGTTAGCCCATAGACCTCAGCAAAATCTCCATCCCTATATTTGGGGCATCTTTAAATATATATTCAGTAAGTCATTTTCAAAGCCATTTAATCCTTCTTTTAACAAAATAGTGTAATTTACCAATATTCTTAGTGTCAGTTTTAAGAATTTGGCCAAACCATTGAAATTTTTATTTATCTTAATCCTAATATATAAAAAGCCAGGTGCCATCACTACCGAAACAACCTGATGGACAACCAAACAGCAGGCTAGGGAGTTGAGGGAGCAGGAGCTATGGGCCCCCAGTTGCCCATGGCTTGGAGGTGGGAGGAGGGAGCTGTGGGCCCAAATGACCAACGGACCTGTCCCGCTCTCAGCGTGGCAGGGCAGGGCTGCAGAGGCTGAGGAGCCTTGTGGGGCGGGTGGCTGAGGCAGAAGAGTGTCGCAGGGCAGGGACATTGTGAGCGTGGAGCTTCATGGGATGGCTGAGGTGGAGAAGCGGTCATGGCAGTGGTGAATCGGAGGAGCCTCACAGGGTAGGGGCTGCTAGCATGGAGCTTCGTGGGGCAGCTGAGGTGGAGGAGTGTCATGGGGCATGGGTGGCTGAGGATGAGGAGCCTTGGGGGCAGGGGCCACGGAGGTGGAGGAGCAGTGCTGGGTAGCAGACATGTCCCTGATTGCAGCTAGGCCTAGGCACCCTAACTGCGCACGATTTAATCGTGCGCTGGGCCTCTAGTACTTTCATAAAAACCCAAGTTTTTAAATTACCAAATAGCATCTATAAAAGTGTAAAGAATTAATGGAAATTTTAAAAAATTTTCTTACAGCAATAATTACGTATCAATGTGGTTCCTTGGAATAATTTTTCGGAGAGTAGAGAATGCAGAAAGTGTTAACATAGACTTGACATATGATATACAGTCATTTACTGATACAGGTAAGACTTTATCATCATAGAGCTATGGTTCTCAACCTTGGCTCTAATGCAGTATTATCTGCCTAGGATCTGGCTGACTGGATTTTTAAAGTTCTACAGTTGGTTAAGTGAATATGATACATCTAATTTATGAAAATCTACCGTATTTTCCGGCGTATAAGACAACACTGTATTCTAGTAAAAAGCCTGCTCAGATTGGCCAGAGTCAGAGAGGCAGTCTATTAAAAAAAAAAAGAACTGGTGTTGCCTCGGAAGTGGGGGGTAGTCTTATACAGCGAATATAGGCCTAAACCTATGTTTTAACTGTAAAATTAGGGGGTCGTATTATACGCCGGAAAATACGCTATGCTATTAAAGTGAAGTCATGTTGAAACAATTTCCATGACATTCAGTAGGAGGGGAAATTGCAGAACAATTTGTTTAGTGCACTACTTTTTATATAAGTAAAGAATATAAGCATGCTTGCTTAGAAATAGAATATTTCTAGAAGGATATATACTTTTAAAAAAGAAATCTGACAGAACTGGTTGCTTCTACGTGTGTTCAGGGGATAGGGATGAGGAGATTTTATTGAACCCTTGAACCCTTTGAATTTTGTAACATGTGAATGTATCATCTGTTTTAAAACAGAAAGATGATTTTAAAAACTCTACAAGTGATTCTTAGTGTGCAAAGCCAGGGCTTATAATCACAGTCATAAAAATGACTTTTTTTTTTTTTATTAACATGAAATATCAGTCAGTACAGGCTTGCTAAATGTTTCATAATTATTCAAGAGTTTCTTTCACATTTAGCTCCCTAATAACATCTCTCTAGAATATCTTAATATATCTGTTATAAATTTGGAGTTGTCTTAATCTGGAATACTGTACATTCATACTATCAATATCCTTGATTTGACTCCTCTGAGATTTCCAAATTCTTTAGAACTAGCTTTCACATTTATCATAAGTGCACATTCCTTATATCATTTTAGTACTACTGAATCACACTCTGGGAATGGAGCCAGAGAATCTGCAAGTTGAAAAGCACTTCTGGTGATTCTTTTATCAGCCATCTGTAATGAAAACAGATATAAATTTTTCCATTCTAATTTGAGCTCAATTTTCAGAAATGAAGAGGTTATTATAAATTTATAAAATGTATCGCTTCTCGGCCTTTTGGCTAAGATCAAGTGTAGTATAAATTTATAAAATGTTCTATAGGTAGAGATACTGAAACCCTAAGAGATTAAATGATTTACCATATTTCACAGTAGTTACCATGCAATAGAAGCCTTCCATCCTTGTCTTCAGAAAGTTTATAATGTAACTAGAGGCCCAGTGCATGAAATTTGCACTGGTAAGGGTCCCTAAGCAGCTGGCAGTGGTGGGCCGGGTATTCCCTCTCTTCCCCCAGCTATCCCCGCCCCCGTGGTCAAACTCCTGAAAGAACTCCCTGTGGATGGGGTCAATTTGCATACTACACTTTTATTATATAGGATTGGGTAATCACAGCTAGTATACATTACATCATTTATGCAGTAGCAAATAAAACTGGTTTTCTTATAAGGTATGAAAAGCACTAGGAATCTAGGGTTGTGTGTATTCTGATCCCAGCAAAGATGCAGGGCTGTCCAGCCTCATTTCCCACCTGTATAATAAGGATGTACTTCTAGATGGTTTCTGACATTCCATGATTGGCGTAGTAAAAGAAGATTCCTAGAGGGGGAGAGCTTAGATTGCATCTTGGATATTTGGTATAAGGATTAGCTTAGACTTTGCAGTAATTTAAAGAAGAGATTTCCTTTTGGGAAGATAGCAGAAAACAAGATTTGAATAAAATCTTTTTTTCATATATTGTTAATGAGATTTGATTTGGAGAAAGTCTTAGAAGTTGGACATGAGAAAATCGGTTAGTATTTGATTAGGACCTGGTGAAAAGGTTTTAGAAATATTTGTTCTGTAAAAGGGGTTTTTTGTGTTTGTGTAGTGATGAGTAGTATGCATTTCAGAAAAAGTAAACAGTTCTTGGTTCAGAAAGAAGTTTTTATTTAACCTATTAACATTGTTACAGTGTACAGACAGGCAAACAACATAAACATGCTAAAGGAGGGAATGAAAATTGAAGCAACTCATGTTAAAAAAAAACAACTTCATCACTATCTTCCAGCAGAGATCCTTCAAAAGAAGAAAAAAGTGAGTTTGTAATCTTAATTCTCCAATATGGTTCCAGGGACTAAATTTGCATTCTCACAGCTTTGAAACCTATTGAAAAGAATGAGGGGCAATATAGACAATTCAATCTAAGACCAAAATCTCACTTTCATTAATCACTAAAGATATTTTGTTTTATATGTATTTCAGAATTGAAAAGTTGTCTCATTTGCTTTTTGAAATCCTAAAAACTTTCCCCCCTTTCAGCAGAGTCTTTCTGATATCAATCGTTCAAGTGGACCTCAATCCAAAAGATCATCTCTGGATAGCAATTGTTTGGATAGCTCTAGAGACACTGATAATGGAACACCTTTTAATTCCCCAGTGTCTACAAACAAACCTTCCAAGCCTGATATTTCTCCTTCAAGAGAAACAGAAAGGTCTGTATTTCAAAATTGTCCTTTCAGTCTTCAATTTGAGGATAATGTAAACTTTTCTATACCTTTTTTAAATACTTTTAAAATTGTTAAATTATTTTATTTTTACCAGTTAGTTTGTTTAGAAATACTGGAGAGTTTTTGATGATCTTATGGAACATGCTGTTGGTTTATAAATATTTGGGACTAGGTTAGTACACAGAAATGCACTTTTTTTGTTGAAATTTTTTTCTCTTAATTCTCATTGGGTCATCTGCCTTTTCCTCCCCTTTTCTCTCCTCAATGAAATATTAAAGTAGGAGTACTTGAAAGAAGTTATCCTAAAATGTTAAAAGTGTTTTAAATAAGTAAAATTTTAGTCATTTAGTGATGTTAATTTAACACTGTTGATAGGAATAACACTGAACCTGCTGCTGTAATTGTGGAAAAGCCGTTGAATGTTCCGCCAGCTCAAGGACTATCTATTCCAGTCATTGGTGCAAGTAGGTGTCTACATTTTTGCTAGTAATGATTCTACTACATATTTATTTAATTACTATAGTCTTTCCTTTTTCCTTTACAGAAGTTGACTCTGTAGTAAAAGCTGTTTCACCCCCAGCTGTGTGCACCATTCCTACTGTCGTAGGACGAAATGTTATTCCTAGGACCACAACACCCCACAACTCTATCCAGGGACAACTACTTCTAAATGGGATGGCAAATATAACTAAAAATTTGCCCAAAAGGTCCCATTCCCCATCTACAGATATGTCTTCAAAGAGAATAAAAGATATAGAAAAGGTAAAGTTGCAACTTTAGTGGTGACTCAGTAGTTGGTTTTTTTAAAGATTAACTTTAAAGAGAGTACTAAAGAAATTTATAATTCTCCACAGCTATCTTAGTGTTCTAGTATGATTTGACTATTTACCCTCATCCTAAAGGAAGAATTCTAATTGTTCATCCTAAATTCAAATTATTAATGTATCTGAAAACTTGAATGATTAATATAAGTTGTTTCTTGATTTCCACAGACGTCGTTATTGGTAACTAAACAGTCATATTTATTGTGTGTTATAATGTTGATCTCCTCTGCCTCCAGTAGAGGGTGGTAAAACTATTTTATTTGTTATAAACAGAATTGTGATAACCAAGAGATCACTCAAACTAGAAATTAAGGGTAGTTGGTTGAATTCGTGCTAATATAAATTCTTATATTGTTTGTAAATAGTTTTGATGATAGCCTAATCACTAGTTTCCTGGTTTATATAGGTTTTTGTATATTTGTGTCGGTAATAGCAATCATTTTAATGTTTATATTTTAGTTTCTTCGACTTGAATCAAAGTTTCAGGAATCGCGTGCTACTGAAAACAGAAAAAGAAAATCAGTGGTAAGTATATTATAATGGTGTGTTTCAAAATACTTTTAATGAGGCATGTATTAGGAAAAGTACTATATTTGAAAGTGGGTCAGATCTATCTGTAGAGTATTGTTATATTTTACTTCATGTAGAAATAAGCATTTGTATATGGGAGAGAAAGTTTACACTTATATATAATTCTTCTTTTTGTTTAGGATGCCATTGGGAGAGAATGTATGCCTATTCCAACTATTGATACTTCACGCAAAAAGGTAAAACAGTCTTATTGATAGGTAATATAAATTGGTTAAAATGCATAGTTGATATATAGGTACAAAAAGCTTATTAAGAGCCTAGCACTGGGTAAAGGGAAAAGGTAATAAAATTTTGTTCCTATCCTTAGAGACCAGCAGTATAGTTGGGAGTGGTAATAGCAAACAAGGTATATGATCCTAAATATATGTACCTCAGAAGTCTAGAAAAGACGAAGTAGTTTAAGACTTCATGGTTTATTCATATTATGTTCAACCTTTGTTTTTTACTTACCTTTAAAGAAATAGTTTAGTGCCCAGCATAGTAATTTCTTACCAATACTTGATAATATGTCTTTTGTAATGCACCATTGATTACTGTCAAAATTTAGTTTTGATAGTTAGGAGCCATATTAATATTTTGAAGGAATCAAATGTACCTATGTACATACTAAGTACTTAAAACATGAGCTAAAGACCCCTAAACCTCAATTTAAAAATTTATTTTTTAAAGAATTACCATTTGAAACTAATAATGTAGTATTAGTAAGCATGGCAAACTGATAAGGAGGTCCTCAAAAGTCAGAGATAGTAAATTGTGTAAATCAGAGATAGTCTTTCTCTGAGAGTTTATAGTGAACACAGAATTTTTACACGCACAATTCCCCCACTAAAAAATATAGTGTTTCTTATCAGTCAACTGTCACCCTACTAGGTTGTAAAGCAAAATAGAAAGTATCCTCATATTTTATATTAGTTGTAGAATTTGTAAAGTTGCTTTTAACATAAGAGTGGGTTACAAAAAATGTGGGTGTGATAAATGGAAGAAAAAGCTTTGAAATTAATATTAAAGTATGAAAGCATGAAATGACATGTCTGGGTTTTGCTTTAAATTATTCCATGTACAAAGGGTAAGACCATAAACCAAACAAATGTGGCAAAATGTCTGAGTCTTAGCTATGGCATCTAAACCTTCATTGTCCTATTTTCAATTTATATATATGCTTGAAATTGTTCGTGTTATTTTTGAATGGATGTAGATATCGGATATTTGTTGAGCCAAGGTAACATGAAAGAAAATTTAACTCTTGCAATCATCTTTGACATGAAGCTAACATACTGTTTCCATTACACAAGTGTCTGTATTTTGGATGTCTTCATTTCTCAATTTCTTAGACTTTGCCATCATTATTTAATAATCTGTAGTATTCTGAAAATCCCTGATATACATGTCTCTGAATTTCACCATCACTGAAGTTACTTGCCTGACTACAAAGTCAGTTGTCCTGAAAACTGACTTTGGTTTCTGAACAGGGTTACAGAAACCAATTGAAGGATGTAACCATGTATCTAATTTTTACACCTCACACCCCAAGAGTTTCCTATTTAGTGACCACGCTCTTCTTATTTTCCTGTACCATTGCCTGACCTTGGGGAGGACTATGTTCTATATGTATTTCTCAGTCTAAAAGTAGTGATTGATTTAACAAAGTCCTCTTTCCTACACATAACACTGCACTTTTATCCTTCTTATCCCTCTGCTTTTCATCTCTTACTGTTAAAAAAAAAAAAAAAAAAAAAGTCTTCCAGCCGAAACGGGTTTGGCTCAATGGATAGAACGTCAGTCTGCGGACTGAAAGGTCCCGGGTTTGATTCCGGTCAAGGGCATGTGCCTGGGTTGTGGGCACATCCCCAGTAGGGGGCGTGCAGGAGGCAGCTGATCGATGATTCTCTCTCATCGATGTTTCTAACTCTCTATCCCTCTCTCTTCCTCTCTGTAAAAAATCAATAAAATATATTAAAAAAAGTCTCCCAAACAAGAAATGCTGTGAACATTGGGATAAAATATTCAACACAGACTTGAGTGTTTAGGAGATTAAGGATTTGGAAAAAACTCAGTTATGACTGATTTACTGGTTCAGCCTTACATTTGCTTTCCCTTCTTTGTTTCTGTTTCCTTCTATAGAGACTGCCCAGTAAAGAACTACCAGATTCATCATCTCCAGTTCCAGCAAATAACATTCGAGTCATCAAAAATTCTATTCGACTAACTCTTAATCGGTAAAAGCAGTGCCTCCTTATTTAGGTGAATATGCAATCATTAGTGACACAGATGCAGCCACTTTTTTAAAAATAGAAGTGGCTGTCATATATAAAATAAGGTGAAAGTTATAGTCATCAATCTGACAACCTTCAAGTGGTTTTTGAACTCTCATACTTTGATCTGCAGATGCTGTAGCATCCTCTCATTGATTGCTACATACACTTCTCTGAGGATCACGTGCTGTCAAATTGTCATCTATAATATTATGGCTTTGTGTTGGAGGTTTTACTGCCTTAACTTTTGATGCTTAATTCTTTATTATGGGAACCAATTCTTGGCTCTTTGGACACTGATAAAACAAGTCCTGACCCCCCCCCTCCCCTTTTTTTTCCTTTTTTTTTTTTTTTCCTCTTTTTTTGGTCTTACGTTATAATCATTGTATAAAATGGAAAAAGTTGAAAACAAAAAAAAAATTGTCTTGTAATTTTCCAAATGTTAACACATTTACTTTAGCATTGAAACCATTTTGTGAAACATGAGGTAAATGAATGTGAGGTATCTTTTCTGCTTTCCTCATTTGTGTAGATGTACTTAATGAATTCTATTGATTTAAATTATTTTTTTCCAGATTGGCACATAGAATATTTAAAAAAAAATTGTGTGTGTGTGTGTGTGTGCGTGTGTGCACGCCTTTCTGTCCAAATGTTCCATAGCTACCAGGGAGGATTAGTCTAGTGATTACATAAATTTTCTATATTTTGCCTCCCATGGAGGTCTTCAAAATGCATCTTTATCAAAATAGAACCAGGATACTAAAAATCAGTATATAAATGGTGAAATTGTTACATATCATATCTCATGCCATTCTTGTTAGCTGGCTGGTATTTTTTACTGAGTAGCAACTCATTCCAGCATTAACAACCAGATACCTTTAAGTATGGCAAACTTGTATTTTTGAGTGTAAATTTAAATTGGCATGATACTTTCTATCACCCCACAACTTCACATATTTTCTTTACGGACTAGGCATGCAGAAATAAGCAGTGGATTTTATTGGGACCTAAAGGCATTTTTGAATAACATTGTTACCAACCATTAATTGGCTCAGGACCTTTGTAAATTTTATTTAATTATATGAGTTGTCTTTTTTTTACATTGCTTTTTTCAATGCATTTCGTAATATTTTTTAAGTTTCATTAACACATGCTCAGTTTATTAAAATCCATAACCATGTAATTCTTGTAATATGTTGATTCAGTGTTTTGTAAATGAAGTCGTATGTATTTTCAGAGTATTTTTGTATGTACTGTAAGATACCATCTTTTCAAAGAGAAAACTTTAAAACCTTTATTGTCTCTAGTCTAATTTTTAAAATATGGATTATGCTTGAATTTTTCTTAAAGTGAAAACATATAGATGACACAGCAAAAATGACTGGTATATATTACCTTATTCAGCTTTCACTCCACATTTAGTAGATCCAGTAGAAAAAACACAAAATGGTACATTTGAATAATGCAGGGAAAATACTTGGTTGTGTATCTTATAAGACTTAAGGGAGAGCTTTTAGCCAATGGAGTAATAGTCCATTTTCTCTTGTGAGCCCTTTACCATTGATTGAAATACCTGAATTCTGGTTAAAGAACAGTATCCTTCTCCTCCCACTGCTGTACCTTGACCCTTGTGTCTCTGAAATGAGAAGTCTAGTGTTTCACTTGTACAAAGGAAAACTTCTTAGAAGTAAAGAAGATCAAGAAAAACAATCATTCTGTTATTCACTTTTTAAAAAAATATATTATTGATTTTTCTCAGAGAGAAAGAGAGAAAGATAGAGAGCTAGAAACATCGATGAGAGAGAATCATTGATCAGCTGCCTCTTGCACACCCCCTACTGGGGATGCGCCCGCAACCAAGGTTCATACCCTTGACCGGAATCGAACCTGGGACCTTTCAGTCCGCAGGCCGACGCTCTATCCACTGAGCCAAACCGGTCCCGGCCTGTTATTCACTTTTGAGAAGAATGGATATTATGCAGCTTTGGGGGTGAAATGTTCTACAAATGTCAGTTGAGACCATCTATTCTAAAGTGTCATTTATGGCTATTGTTTCCTTGTTGATTTTTCTGTCTGAACGATCTATCCAGTGAAGTCAGTGGGGGTGTTAAAGTCCCTTACTCTGACTGACTGTATTGCTGTCAATATCTCCCTTAAAGTCCTCCAAAAGTTTTAATATATTTAGGTGCTCCTATATTAGGTGCATATATGTTTACCAGGATTGTATCCTCTTGTTGGATTGTATTATGTAGTGACCTTCATTATCCCTTGTTTTGGCCTTCATTTTGAAATCTATTTTATCAGATATTAGTATTGCTACCCCTACTTTCTTTTGTTTCCATTTGCATGAAAAAATTTTTTCTCCTTTCATTTTTTTTTTCACTTTCATCCTGTGTGAGTCTTTTGTTCTGATGTGGGTCACTTGTAAACAGCATATATATGGATCTTGTTTTCTTATCCATTCAGCTACCTAAGTCTTCTCATTGGAACATTTAACTCATTTACATTTAAGATTATTATGGGATAGATACTTATTTATTGCCCTTTTCTTTATGAATGGGTTTCTCTGTTGTTATTACAGCAGTCCCTTTATCATTTTCTGCAATACTAATTTGGTGATGACAAACTCCTTTTGCCTTTCTTTTTGTTCTGGGATGCTCCTTCTGTTCTGGGATGCTTCATCTATTTTTAATAATAGCCTTGCTGGATAGAGTAGTCTTGGTTTTATATCCTTGCTTTTTGTTACCTTATTTTATGCCATTCCATTATGGTCTATAGCTTCTCTTGAGAAATCAGCTGACAGCTTTTTGAGAATCCCTTTGTAGGCACTGAATTGTTTTTCTTTTATTGCCTATAGATTCTCTTTCTTTAGTTTTTAGCATTTTAAGTATGTGTCTGGGTGTGGACTCTTTGGGTTCTTCTTGCTTTGGACTCTGTGCTTCTTTAACTTATGTGACTTTTTCCTTCACCAGGATTGGGAAGTTTTGTGACATTATTTCTTCAAGTAGGTTCTCTATCTCTTGCTTATTTCTTCTGATACCCCAGATATTGCCGTTAAGTTTCATGGTATCCCACAGCTCTCTTAAACTGTCCTCTAGTTTTTTTTGTGTTTTCCTTCTGATACTCGGAGGTTTTTTCCTTTCTTATCTTGTAATTCATTGTTCTGATCCTCAGCTTGCTCTAATCTCTTGTTTATTCCTTCCAGTGTATTTTTTATTTTTGCTATGTCATTCTTCATTTCTGACTAGTTGTTTTTCTTAGTTTCTGTATCTTTTTTTATGCTGTTAAGCATCCTTTCAGTTATCACTCTGAATTATATATCTAATAAATTGTTTATCTCTATTTCATTTGCTCTTCTCTTGTTCTTTCATTTGCAGCTTGTTTCTTTGTGTCCCCATTTGGCTGCCTGTTTGAGTTTGTTTCTATGCATAAGGTAGATCTGCTACAACTCCCAGGCTTGGTAGGTGGCCTTATGTAGTGGGTGACCTGTGGGATCCAGTGGCACAGTCTCCCTGATCACCAGATCCGGGTGCTCTAATAATGTTCTTTGTATATTTTAACGTTCTCCTATTTTAATTTAGTCTTGATCGCTGTTGGCTCTTTAGTGCATGGGCTCAATCCTTAGGATGGTTAACAATGAGGCTCAACCCCCCCAACACAGCATACAAGCTGCTATGCATTTATCACACAAAGTGAATTCTCTGCAGAGTTTGGAGCCTGCCAATATCTCCCTGTGGATAAGCTTGTGGAGCTTATTGGAACCTACTTTGTTGTCTGAAAGCTGGCAACTGGGTTTATTGGTTTGGGGCCTCTTCAAATGGTTTCTGGTGCAGGCCAATGTCAGACGCTGTTTCTGATGGGCCTTGAGTACCCTTGTCTAGAGCTACCAATGATCCACAGTTTGTGGCTCCCTCTGCTGGGCAAGATACATGGGGGAAGGACCAAACTGTGCACCAGGTCTGCTTTTCTTAGGCCAGAGCCCAAAGGCAGGTCAGGTGGACTCAAAGCATCCAAAGATCCACTTCTATCTAAAGGATGATTGTTAGTCTCAGTCACTTAATAAGCCTCTGGCTGTAGACTACAGCCCAGCCTAAACCTAGGGTGGGGTAAGAGGGTTTCTAACAGGTGGGGCAATTTCTCCCCCCTCCCCCCCAGGCTAAGGCTGCATTGATGGGAAAGGTCTGCCTGAGATAGGTGGCTTCTGCAGCATGGGGGAGTGACTCAGCACAGGGATCCCAGTGGCTGTCCTCTGCTCTTACTGCTGAGTCACCAACTCCAGACTCTCCTCACGCAGCTCTAGTCCACTCTGCCCTCCCACTGCTGGACCCAAGGTAAGTGGCTGCAAACGAAATTTAATGTGTTGGCCCTCTAAGGGTATGTCTGCGTTTCTAGCTCTCTGTCCCTGCCCAACAGAACCCTGGTACCTTTCACAGCCAGATGTTACTTGGGCACCTTTCCCAGTTCTGCTGCTCTGGGCCTGGGAGCCCAGTTTGGGCTTCCCCAGACTTCTCAGAGGGAAGCCCCCGGCAACTGACATCCCTCCGGAACCTGAGCTGCTGCCTATGGAGCCTGACCAACCCCATCACACTTCTGCATCTCCTATCAGTGTTGATGTGGTCTCCTTTTTACATATTTAAAATAAGGATTCTCTCCAGCTAGTCTTTAGTTGGTTATTCACGATGATATTTTTATATTTTACTTGTAATTCCAATTTGGTCCTGAGAGAATGTTGCTGTAACTTTCACTTAATCCACCATCATCTTAGTATCTCCCCCTTTATTCACTTTTTACATAAGAAAAGACAAGAATAGAATTCCACAACCAAGTTGTAGCTTCTTAGCAAAGCAAAGCTGTTCTTTTAGCTGAACATTTCCAAGTCAATGTCTTCCTTTTCAATTTTCACAGTGTCTTCACTTCCCGGCCTCGGAGTCAGCTTTCACATGGTGGGGCCCTGATTATGGCTGTGCTTCCTTCTCGAGTCTTACGTTTTCCACTATTCCTCACTGCATTCTCTGCATGCTGGTGCCAGCCCCATATCTCTTTGAACTTCCACCATGCTTTCTGTGTTCACCATTCTGATCACATCCTCACTCGGGCAGATCAAGTTGGGGATGGCCCGGCCCGCACACGTCCCAAGTCCCACAGGTTGCGGTATGTGGCCTCCCACGCATACAGTCCTCTCGGTCCCTCTCTGTCTTTGCCTCAGATCTGGTGATTCTCCAAGACATGCCTTCAGGCTTTGTCCCTCAGCTTCTCTCTTCTTCCCCCGTTGCTGTTGCTTGTCTCTGTCCCCACAAGGATGATCCCTGGGTCTGTGGCTGGTCTCTGTCCCCCACCCTCTCTGTTCTTGGCCTCCTGGTCTGGGTCCCTAGAGTTCTGCTGCTTGGACTTTAAGACATCCATTTCTAAGTCCTGGTGTTTCTTACTTCCCCGGGAGTACTCAGCTGTGCAGCCCAAAGGTGTTTTCTGAGGTCAGCCGTTTTCTTAGCTGAACCCTTTTCTACATTCAAATGTTTTTGTTTTTGAAACAGTGAAAAACTCTATTTTCCAGTATCTTATACAAATTTCCCAGGAGACCAAATTTTGCTTAAGGGCCTGAGTCCCAGTTCTTAATGGTGTGAGGCTGTTGCAGAAGCCACAGAAATTCCGCAAATGGGCTCTGGAATTGTGTACATTAGTCCTTTCCTTTTCTGCATTAATGCATTTTGAATTTCTTGTATCTCCATTTTATCTGGCTAAAGGAAGTTCTTCAATTCTCTCCCTCTTGATTCTGGCTCATTAGTGCGAATATCATCCTCTCCATCACAGACCTCAAAGTCATCTTCATAGTCTTCGAAATTGGCCGTGCAGTCATCAGCTCAAACATTTTCTAGGTCGATGTCTTCCTTTTCAGTTTCTACAGTCATCACTTCCCAGCCTTGGAGCCAGCTTCCACGTGGTGGGGCCCTCGCTGTAGCTGTACTTCTCAAGTCTATCTTTTCCACTACATCCTCCGCATACTAGTGCCAGGCCCATTTCTCTTTGAAATTCCACCTGTTTCTTTGTTTACCATTCTGACTGCATCCTGCACTCAGGAAAGTCAGTTTGGAGGGTGCGGCCTGAGCATATCCAGGCCCCACAGGTTGTGGTGCATGGCTGCCAGCTTGGGCTCCTTCCTTCACATGTGTGCTCTCGGTCAGACTCTGGTCCCTCTCCCAGCCTTTGCCTCAGCTCTGGTGCTTCTCCAAGTTACTCTCTTGGGCCTTGTCCCTGAGCTTCCGTGTCGTGGATGCTCTCCGGAGCTTTGGCCCATCTCTGTCCCCTGCCCTCTCTCTGCACTTGGCCTCCAGTCTGGGTCCCTGGGCTTCTGCACCTTGTACTCTGGGATGTCTGTTTCCGAGTCCTTATGTGGCTTCTTTTCCTTGTGTTTATCTCCCTGGGAGTACCTACTGTGCAGTGCTGAGATCATCTGCTGTCCATGTATCATCTTTGGGTTTTCTCTTCTCAGGCTCCATCACCGCTTGTTGGCCCAGGAGGCTGTTCTGAGCTACGCACCCAAGAGGAGAGGGCAGCATATCTTCCTATATTCAAATATTTTGAGATTTGTTCTACCAGTACTCTATTTGAGTAAAGGTGAATAATTATGAAAGGATTAATTGTCACCTGACTTCAAACTTTGAAAAATTCTTTAGTAAGGGATTTGATTAAATTTTATATGTGATGTATTTGCATTTTTATATTCAATATCTACTTATTATCCCTTTCTATTATCAGTCTTCAAAGTCTTTTTAAGAATTCTATGTACATCCATGTTTACCTGTAGTATATAAACAGATTCTTTGGAGTGATTAGTGGAGTTTTTCTTTAATAAGAAAGCAATAAGCCTAAACCTCATAGTAGAGTCATTTCTCTTGAAGTTTTAAGGGTCCATTCAACATGGGGTTAAGACATGGTCAATGGTTCAAGTTGGATCTCTCAAAGATAGCATTCTTCAGCCTGTTTGGTAACTGGGAGTTGATGAAATGCTTTTAAGATGGTGGGTTTGGTAAAAAATGAAGTGTTTTTTATCCAGAGCGGTAGGTAGAATGTTCAGTACATTTTGTTACGATTGTAGGAACCTTCCATTGTACTGGTTCCAAGTAAGTAAAGGTAAAGTATGATCTGGGGGTATATGTTATGTTATGAGGGACTAAGTAAATGCGTTGGATTTCAGGTGTGAAACTAAAAAATATTTTTTTAATATATAAAAGCCTAAGTGACTATCCAACTGACCATCCAACTGGTAGCTATTACATGCAGTGACTACCAGGGTGCAGACGCTCAACACCGGAGCTGCCAAGCTGTGGTGACGTGGCAGCTGTGGTTCTCAGGTGATGCACTGGAATTAAGAGGGAGCCCAATTCTGGGTGTGTCCCCCCGAGAACCGCCCTCTCGCAATCTGGGACCCCTCAGTATGTCAGAGAGCTGGTTTTGTCCCAATCCCTGCAGGCCAGGCCAAGGGACCCCACTTGTGCATGAATGTGTGCACTGGGACTCTAGTTCATTATGTAGACATGTTCATTTTCACAAGAGTTAAATTTTAATCTCATTTTTTCAGTGACTGACTCTGAAAATTAGTATATATCAAAGGCAAACTATTATCTGCTAATTTACCCTTGGGGCAATTTGAGAGTGTTCATGACTTAAAAATCTTACAACATTGAGGCAGGAGAATGAATTTTAAAATACTATGTTGGTACTTACAGTAAAAATAACTGACTTATAGCAGCAATTTAGTAACATTGAAATGTTTACTTTAACAGAAGCAGTGAAACTAGGCTAAGATTATTTTCCACTGACCCACAGCTTTGAAATCAAAATTCCTGGACCTTAGGGAATCCTTTGCAAATGTATTTAAGAAGATTTTGTTTATATGCATTTTTCTGCAGGGGATTCAGCTTTCATTGCCTTTTCAAAGTGGTTCATGATCTAAAAAAAAAAAAAAAAAAAAAAAAAGGGTGAGGAGGACCACAGCTATCCAGAATTGAATAATCTTGCACTTGGGGGAATTTTTTTCCATAAGATTTTTCTGTGGTATATTTCTGAAAATATACTATGGCTGCTAACTAGTAAAGTGGGCTAATGGAGGATGCTGAAACACCAAATTTCTCTCCAAATTTATATATTTCAGGTGAAACTTTTTCAGTATTTAGAAAAATGCTTCCTATTGGATTTATAAATGTCCTCATGTTAATTTAGATTCATCAATGGGGTTAAACTGTAGTTCAACAAATTTCAACCTAAGAGAGTAGAATAGCTTCTTATAGTGGCCATTAGAAATGGTAAAAAGTACAATTAATCATTAAAGATCCTAATCCTTATGATTTAAAGTATCATTAAAGTTCTCTTGTTCTTCTGTGTTTGTGGTTCAGACCAGAACGTATACTGAACAGACCATAGAACTTTAGTTTAAAAAATATTTTTTATAAATTGTGTTTAAATAATTGCCTATAAAATCTTCCAAAGCTTAGAATTTAGGTCATGATGGGGTGATAAAAAGTGCAGATGAAGGGAGAAAACCAATCTCAATAATGGTAACTGTATTTCTTTGGGATTTTTTTCAAAAGAATTATATAAGGTCATATCCTTCCCAAATTTCCTTTTTTTTTTTTTCTGAAATAATTTCTGCAGTTAGTTGAACATAAGATTATTATCAGACTTGCTATAATTTTTAAACTATTGCTACATTTTAGCAGAGATCCACATTACTTTATAATCTAGGATATCTTTGAGGTAAGTGGTGCTATATCAATCATTCCAGTGTTATGTAAAATGAATGCATCTGTGTAATTCATTTTAATTTTTCTTGCCTTTTATTTGGATTGTTTTATTTCTTAATTGTACACATGAGCCTCATTTGTCTGAAATTAGTAATCAAATAAACTTGCTTTGATTAATGGGTGTTGATGATTGATATTATTTGGGAGTAATTTTATTTATTTTTCAAACTGACAGTGGGTCATTTACCACTCAGAGTGTTTTGGGAAGATAATGATATCCACTACCTACTTAAACTAAAAGTCATACTCAATTTGCCTCACAAAGTTACTTATTAAATATTTGTTATCAAGCAATAGCATCTGCCTCATATATTGAGGGGCAAAAGTCTGTCAGCCTTGTAGTCAAGATGAGGTGACCAGGGTCCTCTACCAA